GGAATGTATATGAAATGTCAGATTTTATTGTATTTGCAGAGTATTAGCTTTGAAAATGAATTAAGAGAGCTGTTTGTAGTTTTAAAACGCCTTATTAGTATCAATTAGATATTTTCTCTATTTTTTGATGTACTTAGAGCTTTTTAAGTATAGACTTTAAAATGGCAGGACTTTTACAGTGTTTACATGCAAGTGCATTTTATAAGTGTCCTATATGTGTAAAATAGTATTTCGAACGGGAAAATGCTGGCTAAAGTAGCAGGCTGAGCGTTTTCCTGGTTCCCACGATGATGCCTACGTTGCTAGACTACAGTTTAGTATTGCTTTGTATCATGAGGCCAAGAAATTCCATGTTGTTTGTAAATAGAATAAATGAAAGGCAATAAAAAATTTATTGAACAAAAACCCTTTGTTTGGCCCATAGTTTGTTGAACCAAATTGTTTCTTTAAGTCCAGAATTCCTTAGATGACTCCATTCTTTTAACAACCAGTTATTAATAATCACATCCATCATTAATAGTTGCTTTAATGCTTGCACCTGGGGAGGTACTAATGCTTAATAGCAGTCAGATACTGATGCTGTGCACTGACTGTTGTTCCAGAAATCTTCTACCCAGTTCCAAAACTGTTCATCGTTTTTTGTTTTCCAATTTCCTTCATCGACTGCTACTAACCATTAGTCGTTAGTCGTATTTTATCTCTATTTCTCCTGTTAACCGGTTTTGTGGGAGCGGGCTTCTCCTTCACGTGTCCAAATCATGATGGAGGGCTGTCATGATTTTATTGCATTCTGTAGATGGTGTCGATCAGTATGTCAGAATTAAACATGCTTGGTTTTGTTATTAGTTGTGATTAGTTTTCATGTTGTCATTAAGCCGTCACTAGCTGGAACTAATCTCTTCTCTATCTTTTCTTTCTTTTTTTTGTTTTGTTTTTTTTTGTTTCTAACCACCCAGCCGCCACCGGCAACTAACCTATGACCTTCTGACCTCTGAACTCTTCACCCAATGATGACCTGACCATGCCTGCCTGCTGATCAGTTAACTGGTAAACGCCTTTGCTTGCCTGTCTTCAGTGCAGCGAGCTGGGGCACTTGTCCGTTCGTCTTACCATCTAACAAAACAGACAGAGAAATTGTTGTCCTCCAACTCCGCTTTTTGTTGTTCTCCTGTTTGGGTGAAAGTGGTTCTAGAACCTGCACTGAATAGTAGTAAAGCAATAAGGTCCAACTCATCCCTCCGCACTGATCATCCTCTAGTGTCCCGCCCCAAGCGAACGGTAAGGAGGCCTCGCACGAGATGGAGACAGATGTCCCTTAACTACCCGATGACAGAGGCAGTTACTGTGAGAGACTTCTAGGAATATTTTTCTTCTCAAAAAAAAAAAAAAAAAAAAAAAAAAAAGAAAAAAAAAAGAAGTCAAAGCTCTCTCTGAATGTACTGTGTGATGATGCATCATGCATGAACCTTTGGTCAGGGATGTCATTGGGGAAGGGATTCCAAAAAGTATTCAAAATTTGATACGCTGTTTAGTCACTACCGGTGCCCTCAAAGGGCAGACATTGCAGCCTTTTTTCTATTGCCTGCCAAATTGGACGTTTTAAAGGAAAGTGTGCCATGAAATGCAGATTACGATGACTTTTCAGAACTACGTTAATGCAGAGAACAAAACAGCAACACTATTAAAGCAAAATCTGAGTTTAAATTATTTTAACCATATTTTAATCTCCTCAGAAGATTACATGAGAACAAGGTACATGCATTATGTGTCACATTACTGGGCAAACTGTTCAAATATTTTTTTTAAACCTCCCTGTATAGAAAAAATTTCATTAAGGATGTAAAAGCCATGCTTGCCTATTTGCTGTATACATGTAATGAAATTGTAGATAAAGTGTAGTGCATTGAAACAAAATGAACAAAAAAGTAGATACTTTTACTATACAAGGGTGCTGGTGCAGAAAAAAATATATTTTTGGAAATGTAGCATTTTATACTTTCAAGTGTTATAAAAAAAGAAAAAAAGAACAAAGAAACCCTTTATTTCATTAAATGATTTTTTCTGGTGGTTGTCAAGAAACAAAAGACCAAAAGAGCCTTTTAGTCTTTCTTTTTTATTTTTTAAGTATTGGAATAAGTCTAAAGAAAAGGAAGTGCCTTATTTTCTTCATGGTCATTTAGTCAAATGTCTTGTATAATCAGCTTCTCCCTCAGACAAGTTACTGCATGCCACTCAGTCGCCCAGTATGTGAAAGAAGCTGTGAGGAAAGACAAATGATGAGTTGACCATATTAATTACCTGATTTTTGCCATACTAGCGTGATGTGACTTTGCCAAAATCTCACTACGTAAAATATTTGCTAAGTTTTTGTCAAACCAGCCCATCGTTATTTCAACCACTCTACTTTTTGAATCATAGCAAACGCCGTACTTGTGCAATGTAAACCAAAGGGTTCTGTGATACAGACTGCCTCATGCTAAATGAGACTATTAGCTGACAAATGTTTGTAGAGCTGGAAGTATGTCATTTGTGTTCAGGGATGGAGAGGAGTTTTCTTGATTTTTGGTTGGAATAAATATGCGTCAAATACAGTAGGCTTCGGCGTCACCCAGAAAACTGATGTTCTGTGGATAATGAAATTGAAAGTGCTTAGCTAGCTTTCAGTTACAGTCTGAGCCTGTCCCCGGTTTTCGCAAGCAGCTCCTGCAGTGGCAAACAGCATGCAAGTTATTTATTTTTCAGCCCTTCTTCAACTGCTGTTAGATCTGTCCGCTGGCTTTTCTTCGTAAGATAAGCAGGAGAGGGACATCAGCTAGTTGTTTGAAGTCCAGCTATACTTTATTTTTGACCTTCATTTCCACATGAGATTCATACAGCTGGGCAATTGCAAGAGCTGAAGCTGTTGAACGCACAGTATTTGATTCTGAAAACATTAAGTATTACTTCGCGTGGGGCTCAGTACTAAACTTGGCAAATATCAGGTGATAACTTTATTCCCCTCTTGTCAACTTATTCTCCTCCTGCAAATCTTCACAGCTTCCAAATGAAAGGTCAATAGTAAGCTAAGAGGGCTTACATTTTTAAGCACCTGCATGGTGACCTCATCTAACATCTTGTCTCACCTGGAAATAATTATCAGTTTATTTACTATGCAATAGACATTCATCCTTTCGTATTGAGCTAGCTTTTTGTTTATTGTGCCACCGGCTTTGTCTTCCTGTTACACATACAGTTGTGTTGATTTTACTTACAGTATATGCTGTGCCATTTTGATTTTATTTTGGTTGGTTGGTTGAATAAACTTGCGACACTCGAACATTTGAAGAGAGATTTGCTAAAACAATACCAGTATTTGATCCAGTTTCATCTCAACTATGATAAAACCTGGACATTTTAGATGTTTATCAAAGGTCTTTTACTGGGGGGGAGGGGAAGTGTATGAAATAGATGTGTGACATGTGAAAGTAATGTTTGCTCTGAACAAACTTCTGAAAACTTAGTTGACAAAATTTTGGATCAACTTAAAAAAAAAAAAGCATGACTTTTGAAATCTCTGAATGCCTTGGTTCTCAGTATTATCATTCTTTAATGACTTTTTCTTTATTAAAATAAGTAGTTTTAAGACTTCTTTCTGACAGTATTATGTAATTTTTTTAGAGTGGGTAGATGGGAGTGTCGCTTGTATGTAACCGTACAGATGACATGTATTTGTCTATTCTTTATTATCTTAGTAGTTTCATGCTATGTATGTACCATAACCAACCTATTGCCTATGAGAAACATGTAAGATAATGTATTTACAGCCATTGTTACAAGTTTATAATGTATTTTTCTATCTTGTTTTATATGTATGTTATATAACATTCAAAAGAATTTTTTTCCTGATTGAGAAAAAAGGATACAAAATGCAAAACCCACAATTTTGATAACTGAAAAATTGCCAATTGTTTTGCAGTACTTTATTATATCGGGAGTGTTGTCTTTCTTGGGCTTTTAGTTAGCTACTGGATGAATACATTAGACATATTTGGGTTTTAGTTGGGTTTTTACATAGCTTGCATTTTAATTCTTTGGTTCTTTGCTGTTTCTATTAACCCATAGCATTATTTTAATAAATGTTATAATACCAACCTACTAACTCTGGACTATGTCTGTTTATTAACCATTACATGTTTAATTAAAATAAACAAATAAAGACGGAAGAATGTAAAGTCTTGAGTTACTGGACTAACCCTGAAGAACGTGACCACAGATAACACAACGTGACTTGTTTTTATGTTGTTTGTCGGCTGACAATTCTGCACACTACTATTAAGTTGGCTTTGGTCATTCTGGCCTTTTACCTTGGGGAATAGGTGCCAGTAGAAATGGGAACAAAGTAGCATTTTTTGAGGCATTCTTCTCGTAGAGTCTTGCCACTTGCCTTTCAGCATCTGCATTACTAATTCCACACTTTCTTTTTCTTTCTCTAAAATAATTACTGTCGGCTCACAGCAAAAGAGCAAAGATGCCAGTGTATTGGTAAACCGTGATGGTGTACAGAAACCAGTTTGATTCTTTGTTGAACCATTCGGAGGTCGCAGTTAATCTCGTAGTAATTTGTGATTTGTTGTTTTTGGCACCTGGTTCACCGTTGCATCATGTGACATTTCTAAGCACAAAATACTTCTAGACAGGATTACTGTACATTGAAATAACAAAATCCAGGGGTTTTCCTTGCCAAAAGTGCCTTATTTTCTTCATGCCATGCTATTTTTAAGTAACTTTTTTTTTTTTTTCCACTTCTGCTAAAGTCTACCAGTATTGCCTAGCTCAGGGGAGTACAATTTCTGTAAGCCAAAGGTCGAACTGGATCATTTCCTAATGACTGCAGAAAGTACAGAAATACACCTTTCACTAAATTACCAAGCAACTGCCATTTCAAATCCCAGGGCTGCCTCTATGTGATCCTTATCCCCGTGGGTGACTGTAGCAACAGGAATGCAGGGAACTGAAATAGTGAAGATGCTGGTTTGAATGTACATCTATGCAAATACTTTTACAGAAACGTTTTTCTCTCTTAAAGCTTCTTACGTCTGAGGCTCCTTTGCATACCCTGGGTCGTCCTCCTAGATTCGTAATCCTAAGTGGATGGTAATTACAGCTGATGCTGAGGGAGACCCTCGGTGTAGATCACTCTGCAGATATCAACAGGTTTTGTGAAAGCCCAGTTTTTTCCTGTAGACAGTAAAAATTCAGATGAGGAGTCTTTGCATCTGTTTAAATGCCTTCTTTAATTTATGATGTTACAAAACTACGTATCTTGAAATCCATGCGATATAAAACTTTTAATTTTAAAAGGTTCTCACAGTATTGGTAGTAGTAATTAAAATAGAATGCATCTTTATTTTACAGAGGAAAAATAATCTAGCTCTGATGAAAACATTTGTTAGGTTTTTTTAATGGCATTTAGCTCTTTATTTGTTTTACAAAAATGTATAGGTACAACTGAAATACCAGTGCATTTAGAGTAGTTTCACTTGTACAGAAATCTTTTTAGGTTAACAGGTTGTGAATATCTTACTATCCTACAAGTCAGCCACAGGCAGATGATAAAAAAATCAGTCCTTTGCAACCGACAGCATCAGGACCTTTTGGCTGGATAATGGCATGAGTATCTTTTCAGAGCAAGCAATTTATATTCCTAAAGAATTTTATCAGAGGCACACATTTAAACTCGGTGAAGTACTCCCTCCAGTTCAGGTGAAACTATTCAGATGGGACAAAAGATTAGTATTTTATATTGAAGAGTACTTCTATTCCCAGAACGACTGCTTTTCTGTAAGATTTTTATTATTTTATATTTTTATTAGATATGAACTACTGTGATACTTTGTCCACAGTGCATTTTCATCTCATTCTTCATTATATGCAGTGGTGAAAGTTGCTCTAAGTTCTTAAGTACCTTAAAGCTGGAGGACAGCAAAAAAAAGGAAAACTCTAAAATCAAAAATTTATACTAATTATTGTTGTCCGCCAAATATGTTTCTCAGTTTACCTAAGTGCCTGTCTAAAAATTTAACTTTTATACTCTGCCTGCTTATAGGAAAGAAACAGGGTATTTTTAGAACTGAATTTGTTGATGGCTTCGGTATTGTTACATCACTGAAGCTAGGTTGTTCTTTTTCATTATTCTAGGGTTAAATTGGCCTGTCATTTGAAAGATCATACATTCAGGTCAATTAGAGAGTTGCTGTTCCAGCCAATAAAGGGTTTTATCTTAGGGTAAATATATATATATATTTGTTTGGGTTTGTTTTTTTTTTTTTTTTTAGTGGATAAAAATATAAACTAAAACAGGATAGAGCCTTTCAAAGTAAAATCGGAGCAATCCTCTTCACTTCTTAAAAGTGAACTGTTGTACCAGAGTACAACAAATTTGGTTTCTCCGAGAGTATTTTTTTTTTGGAGTTACGAATCCAGAATATATTTTGTAAAGAGTCTTCAGGGACATCTCTCAAATGTTTTTAATGAACATGTGTTCGCTGCATACTGACAATATTTTATTTGAACATATCTTTAAAAAGAATGTGCAAAATCTGCATGCGATGAATGGTTTATTCCCAGGTAGTACTCTTTGAGAGGGACCACTAAAAGGTTTTCTGCCCTGAAAACGTAGGGAGATACTGAAATGTGTTGCCATCCATTAAGAAATTACTTTAACTTGAGGGAAACACGAGTGTGCGAAGCTTAATTCTTTGTGTCTGGGTAAAAATAGCAGTCATCATAAATAGCGCATTGTACAGAACGGAGCCTGGGTAACACGTTCCTAGGGTTGAAAGTGCATAACTGTTACTGGAATGTCTCTTTTGGTTTTGATATATTTGATATATTTTTCTAAAACACTCTTAATGGAATACTGTCCAAATAACACCTGAACCATAACATTAACACATGGTAATCAATGTTGAATCAAACTGGTTAACAAAAAGTACAGTGCTCTTCCTTCTCTGTGCCTGCGCACTAATTGGAGGTGGAATGGTTCGGCGTAGGAGGTGGGTGTCGGGCACGGCAGGTTGCGGTGCTGATTCCTTGGTGCCAGCGGTTCGGATGTCCGCCTTTGACAACAGACTAACTGGGAGGAATCTGACTCCCAAGGCAAAGTTTAACTGAGATCTGCAACTCTTAGAAGAATTAATTGAAAAAAAAAAAAAAAAAACGAGCAGCAACGAAACAACATATATCATATATGCTTTGACTTGTATTATGGCAGTTTGTGTGAAACATATAAGGGTTTGTTTGTGCAAAATAATGTATTCTGAGGGGAAAAACAAACATGGACATTGCCAAAACACATGTAAATAAAACACCATTTATGACTGTACATTATGTGCAATAAAGTAACTGGAAAAAGTGCATGTACTTTATCCTCAAAAGCAAACTGACAGCTCTCAAAGCTGTAGCTATAGTTTTATTTTCTGAAAAGTTAAATTTTATTCTGTATCTAAACAGCAGAATAAAGAATGTACATTTTTCACACCTCAATTTTCATTAATGCTTTTAGCAGTGTTATGAAAGATGTTAATTGTTGAAAAGGCTTAAATTTTCACGGTCATCTGACTACCAGGGTATTTTTTGCTGAACAGTTTCTTACTGCATTTGCTGTTGTTGTCTGTAACTGTAAATGAAGCAAGCATGCATTGCATACCGTAAACATGCAATGCACATTTTGAATATAGATTTGTGGATGCCCCAATTCTATACATTTCACAAAGATGACCAAGTGATGATGATGATGTACTTCTGCAAGCATCACTGTTACAATTGTTTGGAGCAAATAAGGAAAGGGAGTACCACTTTGTAGCAGAGCCAGGATACTGGTTTGGGGTGGGGGTTCTGGTTACTATAGAAAAAATGAAGATGATAAATCTGCCACCCTACCTAGTGTGAACCTAGTGAGAAACACATTTTGGAGAAGAAATAGATTATGGCGGTTTAACATTTTCATTAATATTTATGTGATGATCCCTGGTAAGAAAATTTCTTTACCAAGGTATTCTTTGATAAAAAGCCCTACTTTACATTGTTTAAATAAAAAATGGTTTGCCTCAGAAGTAGGTGTACAATAGAAAAGGGTTAAATGTGGCGTCTTTAGGAGTCTGGTAGAATAGGGGAGGCTAAATACCAGTGTTCGGGTACAATTCCTCTCCTGCACTCTTCCAGGAAGGAAGAAAAATTTGGCATAACTAGCGTTCGAAGATATCTTCCACTCAACAAAGTGGTGGTTTGGTTGTACCTGAGCTAGCTTTAAACTCCTAGTTCATCGAATGTAGAGATGCGGTGCAACATGTGCCCCTCGAGGAGGTAAAGCAGCCCTCGACACCTTTGTTGTTACTCTGGATGCCAGCGCAAGCACGCCCCTGCACTGCAGCCCTGGCTCGAAGCGTGGGCACGGCCTCACCTGCCGCGCTGTCTTTGGCTGTGCTGTGCAAACCCCCTCCTTCATCCACCCAGACCCCTAGAAAGCAGAATGGTGATCATCTTCCTTGTCTCCTGCACCAAGTCAGTAATATCTATGATCACGTTCACGCTAGGAATTGCATTTATTGGTCTACAAATTAAAGTTAGATGTGGAATTTAATGACTGGAAAATTTCTATCAACGACTTTACTACTGTTCTACCAATGCTTTCTGCAAAAGCGTTTTGGTACGTTTATGGCCTAACATTACTAGATGTCTCCTGAACACTTTTACTACAGTTACTGTACTTCCCTTGAGAAAATACAAACTTAACCATTATCTCTGTCAAAATAACGAGAGGCATTCATACCAAAGAGTGCAAAATGCAGCATCTGAAATTAATGTCTTTGGCATTCAGGTCTGCCAGCAAAAGTAGAAAGAGATATTATACAACTGTTTTCTCAATATCCATATCAAGTTCTCAAACAGTTAAAAATAGACAACTGACAGCCAGTTCCTCTTGAGTTGAGCTCTTCTAAAAATTATTAACCACAGATAACCAGTAACTCCCCAAACGATACGTTTTAAAGTTTTTATTACAAAACAGCATAGCATATATTTGCCTTTTCTAATTTCTGTCACTGCATTTTCAAAGTGTTTTCATCTTCAGCAACAAACAAGGTTGGCTACTTTGAATAGTAAACTGAACAATCTCAGAGGTGAGCTTCAAGGAAAAACCACCAAATAATGGCACGCCTCACAACACTGCATCGTTTCAGCAGCTCATCAGTAAATAAAGGTGCTTTCTCTAAATTTTACCTATTCGTAAACCCCTTATGCAGACAAGAGGCTAAACAGAGAAATGGCTTTTGTTAGCGGGACCTTTTCAGAATGAATTCTGTCGATTTTGAGTTCACTGGGGGTGGCCTTTCTGAAACAGGTCGTACTGCCACTGCCTGGAGCTAGGAAGACCCCAGGTCCTCTTGCCGTAGGTCGGTCATTCAGCAAGCGGTTGTCTCGGTGTTACTTCTGGTCTGCTTTCATAGTCTCTTAAATTATGAAGATGAAGCCTCAGCTTTTGTATCCAGATGGGTTTGTATCATGAGAGATGTATCAGTCTCTACCTTGGAGGGCAGTGTTTTAAAGGGGCATCTTTTTAACTGAAGTTACTACAGTAAAAAGGCAAGTTGTGTGAGCAAGAGTATTACGGGAAATGTTACCATACAATAAAGATACTAGCATCCCTGTTTCGGAGTCGCGCTGGTTTGTGTGCATTAGAAATGCACAATGTAATAATAGTGTAATATTCCCTTCTTGTTGTGTACATCTTTCCAACTATGATTTCCAGATTCTGTTGTTTTGATAATTTATAACAGTGGACAAGGTGGTTTTCATGGGACTCAGAATGTACCTTTTACAGATCAGAGATAGTGAAATGACAAGATACTGCAAATCACTCCTACGTATAGCCTTTCCACGGAGCACAGCCTTTTTCAAAGGAAGGTTTTAAGGTCTTGGCCTCAGATATTAGGTAATATATGGTAAAATTGTGATGCAGGAAGCATAGTTTATTTGTTAGCCTACCTGTTAATCTCCAAAAGTTTAAACATCTGTTACCAGTTCTAAGATGTTACTGCATGTTGACTGTCACGGCAAAATCCATATCTCATTTTTAACATGGGCACAATCTAGAGACCTTCACATCCATACTACGCTAGTAAGTCTCTCGATCATTTAATGGTAAATCCAGTACTGCAGAGGGGACCACAGGGCCATGACTTGCATGCTCTTGTGTGACTTTTCCCATATAACCTTAGTGATGAGACAATTTTGATTCTTTCCCTGAAAGGCAACGGATGAAGCAGATCTTCAGCTTTGTTTCCGAGAGAAAATAGGAAATGTGTACCTATCTGGACTGAAAGAAGATAAAGAATAACAATAATGTCAGAGCTTTGAATCCTGTCCTGAACAGATTAATAGAATTACTTTGGACTTTGTATGAGCCAGGAGGAGGAGGAGACAAACCTAGACAAGAGCAGCATTGTCAAGAAGCCCATGCTGTGTTGTCAAGAAGTTCATCAGAGACTGTAGGCTGGAATTTTAAGTGAAGAAAATGGAAATCATCTCAGTCCTTGAAGAGCTGGTTTGCCGTATCTCTCTGTTATCTTAAGGAAACTTGCTAATTTCTCTATTGGAAATCTTTTCCTTCTTCAGCCTAGTTTGAATTTCATGTTCTTTTGTTCTAAGGTTCTGCCCTGCCCCCTTCTGCGCCACCTTACATTTCATAGACAAATCCTCCCTTCATTAGGATGGCCAGGTGGTGCAGTTCTTCCTTGGTATAGAAAGACTGCAAGAAAGTGTTCAGGTCTAAATCAGGATATGCAAGTACAAGATTATTTAGAAAGCCTGTTTTAAATATATGTGACTTGGTCCAAGCAGGTGGGAATGTGACCACGGCACAAATCTGACTGTGTTTGAGATGTTTCTTTTATTGCTGATGATTTGTGCAATTTTGGGCAAGACCCTTGCAGCCAAATCCACAAAAACACAGCACTGGAAGTGGGAATTAGACCTTATTCGAGTGTCATGATATGGAGTGTTATTACCTAGCTTTTCAACAGAAAATTCCTTTTGTGTTATTCCGTAAGAGAAAACACCATCAACTTACCTTCTTTTGTCCGCTTTTAGCAGCAACATCAACAAAAAAGAAAACCCTGGGTACCCAGAGACAACATACCTGCTCTCGTGTGGAGGGGGAAGTGCTGGTCAATAAATCCCTGGCTTTCAGCTGCACCCACAGTAACTACCTTAGCAGCTCAGCTGCTTGAGTATGTCTCTCTCCCCGTTTTCACGTGCACAGCCTATATGGTCGTAACCTGGCCATTTGTGTCCCCCAGCTACCCATAAAGAAGCTCAGTACTGTTTCACTCAAGTCCTTTTGTTGCTCTTGTTCTGAATCTTTGTACCTCAGTTCCTCACCAGTGAAATGAGGTTAATAGGAGTAGCCCAGTAGAGCGTCAACTGTGGATGACTGCATTCAAGGCTGTGGAGTGCTCGAAAAGTACAATGCCGAGTGCTCTCCAGTATCATAACAGTGTCCAAGTGTCTTACGATCTTGAATGTACTTAAAAATAAAGCGTGTAAGCAAAACAAAATGCCTTTGACTTCTTACTTAGTCCAACCCCATTGCACAATCCCGTAGTCCAGCTGAGTCCCAGCCTCAGGGCCGATAACCTCAGTGGGTACCAGCAGTGCCCGAGATGGCTGTCTCTTGCTTTGGCTTGATTTGTGTTCATAACTTTCTCTATCCTTCAGGCTCACTCTGGATGAACTGAGGTGCATTCCAGTTTTTCACAAGTCCAAGGGGAGGTGAGGGACAGAGATGCAGCTGCAGGGAACAGCACCGCTTTGTCTCTTCACTACTGGAAGGTAGCGGTGGGGAGTGCCGATTGCACTTGAGACCCAGCAGGGCAGGCAAAATGGGATTGTATTGCAAAGCCACTTGGTGGAAGTCAGAATTTCCCAGTACAACATGGGAGATGGGCATGATGCTAGTACTAGAGACTCTAACACATTGCTTTTTACTTGTCAGATTGCTAGTATGGTCAGCAAAATACCGAGGTTGCTTGAATTTTCTGCTGCCTTTTGGGAAAATGCCTGTCTGCTCCAAGAACTCTTTGGTGTTCACAGAGCCCACTGAAGAGTCCAGCACACAGATAGTCTCACTGATCTTTGTGTGCTGAGGTTGAACAGCTTTGAGCTTTTGACTATAGCAATGCCGATACCGTTACGATACAGTGATACATGGTGCCCTTTACAAATCTAGATCTATTCAAATACACAGTAAATTCAAGGGTCTGGAAAAAGACGCAGCGAGGCAGCATTCTGCATTAGTGTTAAACAAAGGTGCGCGGGCGTTATTGGCTGTAGGAGCGGGTGCTTGTGACATACACCACCTCCATTTGAGAGTTGAACTTAAAAATTGGGTGGCTTTTTTTAAATCCACATCTGGGTGCTGGATGTTGCCTTTTGTTTCATTAGTATTGCTCTACCCTGACCGTGTTTGGGAGCAAAAGTTAGTGTAAAACCACCAGGTCTCCTCTGCAAACACGTGAGGTTCTGATTCTTCAACTCTCAGGCTACGATACGATTTTTGAAACTGAAACGCCTTAAAATAATTAAGTTTGATGCAAGAACAACATTTGCAGCTTCAGGCTTTTCGCTGTTAATGGTTACGTTTGGATGCCAATTTTGCAGTGAGCTTCCTACTTGCTTCTGAAGGACAGAGATAAATGGTGTTTGTGAGAGACAGAGCTTTGGGTTTCTCAAGCAAGAGCCAGCATTAGCAGGTAGGTATAAAACAGAATCACCTCATCAGCCATACCGCTAGTCCCAGCGAAGCCCAATATTAGCTGACTTATCCTTGGTCTCACTCAACCACAAGTCAGCTCGCAACCAAACACTTTTGGTCAGCCCTCACAGGTGGAGAAGCAGGGATTTGGCTCCTCAGTCAAGGCTTTTCTAGGATTTTATCTTGGTGAAGTAAACAACTGCATTTTATCAGTTGTCGTGTATATCACAGTGATAATAATGAATTATATCAATGAGGTAGGATTGTCACCTGCTCTGGATTTTTCCTGTGACTTCCCTGTGTGAGGGAATCTTGAAATAAATGATTTCCATGCTCTGGCAAGCGCCTTGTTTAAAACAGAAGTGAAACCAATGAATGAAATAGTCAAAGTTCTGACTCTTTCCAGGAGGGAGGGAAGTAGTAAATAATGTTGCCTTAGAGCAATCCCTTGCTTTTCCCCTTGCAGTTTGCTGTCACTAGTCACTGTGATCTGGACTCTGCACATGGAAGAATCCTTCAGCCGGAGTCAGTGGGGCTGCTCATGTGAGTAATTTCCAATGCACACAGATGGGACCATCAGGCCCGGTGCTATTAGACTCATTTCAGCTATAAATTCTCTGGGCAAGGATTTATATTTCTTGTCAGTAAAACACTGGGTGCAATTCTGGTGCTATGCTTTTTTTCTTTTTTTTTTTTCCTTTCCACAACTTCTCATTTTCTCTTCGCGCACACAGAGAGCACTACAAGGATGAGAGTAGCAGCAGCTCTGATGAGCAATGCTAACGTGCCTTGGTCCTCTGAGGGGCTCCTTTGGACAACTCAGCAATGTCACTCTGGCTCTTAAACGTTCCCTTTGAGTCAAGAGCCGCATCGCTGATGGCAGGCTGGGAAAGGGAGTGCCCAGTTGCAACGGCAGGAAGAAAAGGTACCTCGGCGGCTGGCGGCAGCAGGAGAGTCTGGTTGTGCCGGTGAGTCAGCCCCAGCGCTCGCTCCGCTTGCTGATTCCAGCCACAGACGGGCATGTGCAGGCAGGGAGAATTCCTAGCTTTGATTGCGTGTGGGGAAAGGACCTGCTTATGCTGCCACGGTAAACTCTGTTCATTCAGAATAAAATCTCACATAGCATAATTGCCAAAATCCTGGGATGAAATGTTTCTGCTTAATCCCTGACACGTCTTGCTCTTTTCACTGGGAGAAAAGTAGTCATTTATGGGGGCTTTTTTTCCCCCTCCAATTTAATTGCCAGCTTTGATGCGCCTATAGTGGGAATAACGGCAGAGGATACAAGGTCTTCCGTCTCCACTGCTACCTATACACTTGCATATAAACAGCACTTTTGTATCATGGGTTGGAATAAAGGCTGAGGGGTCATACCACCGGTGCAGTAACTCTTTTCCTTTGTACTGGATCTAATAGGCCTGCAGTAAGGAAAATACCACTTCTGCTTTGCTTTTAGGCTGAAACTCACCCTGCGCAGAGGTCTGGCCCAGGGCAGAGGCCCCACTTAAATCCTGCTAAACCCTCAGATGGGCCTTCCAGGTTCCCCTCTGATGGGTATGGGGATCTAGAAGGGTTTGCATTCAGTTCATGGATAAAGGCACGTAAATAATACCTTTACAGCTCAGGTACATCTTGAAATATGCAACCTGATGGCAGACAATTCTCCTTTATTGTGCAGATACTTGTTCTGAACCACACGGCTGGTAAGTCATGAAATATTAATGGCCATGCAAATCTTCTCTTCTGTATCACAAGCTTTTCTGTGTTTCTGACCTCTGACTTCCTTTAATCATCTCCTGGGTGTGTGGTCTGTTACTATTCTGAGATATCTTGTGAACAGGAGCAAAGTAATTACTTGATCCCTGCCTGCTGCAAGAATCTTTTTGAAAAGAAAATGGATAGCTTGCGAGACGCTTCCTCCTTGCATTAAAATCAACCCCACCTACTTGCTTCACAGGATTTCTCTTTTGGTGGCCTGAATGCAGACCGACAGCGTTTGGCGTTATTTTCATGACTGTAGAAACAGCATTCTTGGATCTCCTAAGTCATCACCTACTCCTCCATAGATTAAATACAATTTCTGGTTAGATGTCTTCTCCCCTCCTCTCCCCCTCCTACTGATTTTGCTTAAGGCATCCTTATTAAATAAGCCACAACTCCAACCACCAGGCGTTTTATTGTGATTTGTTACAGGAAGGCCCAAAGATCTTTCAACCAGCAGCTGTAGTGCTTGTTGGTTATGGGGTTATCTTAGCCATCTCCCTAATAACAGAGGCTGAATTAATGCCTGAAACATGAAGGTTTTTAAGAACCAGGGCATGCATTTTTGGCAGAAATCTCCTTTCCTTTGTCTACCTATTCTCTAGATAACTAAATATATTCTCCAAATAACTAAAAATAATGACGTTACCATTGTGGGGAAATATGGAAATACCTCCTCGCTCCCTGCCAAACATAGGAGAGGTCAGTGTTTGGTGGCACGCGGGTTTGACAACCAAAGGAGAAGCAGCTGCACAAGCAATACGGCTGGAGAGAGCAAGCTCATCCTGGAAGAGCATTTGCCATACGGGAGCTATTTTAGTAAAGCCAGCATGATGAAAGCACAGACAGGAGTAGGTATTTTTACAAGTGAGCTTGTCGTGACTGCCAAGAGCATAGCGTAACACAAGGACAATAATGACCACACAGTTTAGTACAAGGTTATTAAATGTCGACCTACAAGTGGTTTCTGATTTCTGGAGCAATTTTGCCCAAGTGCAGGAGTCAGCAATCAATGCAGCACCAAAACAGATGCTGTCAAAATGGCAGTTTCATACATAAAAGGAGGGGGAGGATAGCTAAGGTCAAAACATTCGTTATCAGAGCAGAGAAAAAAAAGAACTGGGATACCTCAGGTGTCTGTAATATCCCACTTTGTGATACCTGGGATGAAACAGAGGAACCTTTCTGGGGCTCTGCCGTTCAGTCCTCGGTCAGTCTGGGCCATTTCTGAGGATCAGATGCCAGCCTGGGAGGAACCCCCACCCCGAGTTTCGAAGGTGCAAAGATATCTACCTCACCCTTGGTTTCAGTCAGCGGTTAGGTGCCTACGTGTTTTTAAGGGCATAGGTGTCTGCCAGCCACCACTGTTCAGACTTCTGGTATCATTTGTATTTTCCCAGCCCTTGCCTCTGCTTTCTAGATGTCCAACCTTTTTCTTCATAATTTTTCTTTCTTTCACGCTTTCCTTGGAGTTTTTTTTTATTCTGAAATGACCTCGGTGACTCCTGGCAGACCCACAGCTTGGCTCACACAAGTTACAGTCATGTAGCAATGTCATTCAGTGGCTTAAAACCTGTCAGCCCCCAAACCTGGGGACCACCCGTGTCTGGGCTGTGCCCTGTGCGGGGAGCGGGAGCCCCTGGCCCTGTGGGATGATGGAGAGCTGCTGTGCCACCAGCCCCTGGCCCTGTGGGATGATGGAGAGCTGCCATGCCACCGGCCCACTGGTGCTGCGGGAGCCATAGGGAGAGCAGCCGGAGCAGAGAAGCCGGAGCCATCCTTCCCGGACCTTCTGCAGCACCGTGGTGCCTCACCACGGGATGACTTACCCGTGTCTAAACGATGGTAATGAGTCCAGCTGCAGGTGTGGTCCACTCCTAGCTTGCAAAGGTGATGG